CTGACACTAAGCCAGGCCCGGTCTCTCCTGCCCCACGTGGCTATGCTGTCTGGGCCAGGCAGGCCATGCCGCTGGTGGGCGGAAGGGGGCAGGGACCCATGGGAGGCGCCTACTTGAGCTCCTGCGCAATGGCTGCAATCTGCTCCACGCGGTCCTGGTGAGCTGCCAGGTCGCTCTCGAAGGCCTCGTGCTTCCTGATGAGGGCTTTGATGTCTGACAGGGTGGCGGTTTCGTAGTCCTTCTGCCTCAGCATGGCTTCCTTCCCTGGGGGAGGGAGAGCAGCACAGCCCATTACCCCCAGCACCCAGGGGAGCAACATTCAGCCTTGCGGGTCTGCCCCTGCCCCCACCACACTCAGGAGCTGGAGCTCGCAGAGAAGGCTGAGAGATGGGCAGCGGTTTCCCATCCCTGGCTCACCCCCTCTGCATCCACAGATCTTGTCCCCACGTGCTGGGGTTTCATGGGACGGGCTCAGCCCTCTAAGGGCAAGGACATGGCAGATTAACAGAGCAGCAGCCACCTGGTGCTATGGCCCCGGCCCCGGGCAGATGGGCCATGAAGTCAGCCAAGGGCAGCCCAGGCTGGAGGGACTCTGCAGGGCAGCGACTGAGCAGCAAGGGGATGCCCGGGAAGGTTACTAACACGGCGGCAGCCTGCTCAGCTTCTACCTGCGCTCACAGGATGCTGCAGTGCGTAGGGTCAGACACACCTGTGGCCAGTAAGAACATCTGAGCCTAAGAACGGTCCATCCAGCCCTGTGTCCTGCCTGCCAGCAGCAGCCAATGCCACATACCCCAGAGGGGGGCATTACAACCTAATCCTCACGCGATCCCTCGCCTGTCACCCGTTCCCAGACAAACAGTGGCTGGGGACACCTATCCTGGCTGATAGCCATTGATGGACCTAACCTCCAGGAATCTATCTAGCTCTTTTTTGAGCTTTGTTCAAAGTCCCAGTCTTCACAAAATCCTCTGGCAGGGAGTTCACAGGAGACTTTAATCTGAAGAGATTAAAGAGACTGGGCCTTTTCAGCTTCACAAAGAAGAGTTGAAGGGGGGATAGGAGAGAGGGCCATAAAATCATGACTGGTGTGGAAAAAGTGAACAAGGAAAAGTTACTGACTTGCTCCCACACTAGAACTAGGGGTCACCCAACGCAATGAAGAGGCAGCAGGTTTAAAACAAACCAAAGGAAGTTTTTCTTCACTCCGTGCACAGTTGACGTGTGGAACTCCTTGCCAGAGGATGTGGTGAGGACTAGGGTTCAAACAAGCACTAGCTAGATTGATGGAGATTACGTCCATCGATGGCCATTAGCCAGGATGGGTAGGGCTGGCGTCCCTAGCCTCTGTCAGGAAATGGATGACAGGGGAGGGATCACGTGAGGATTCCGTTGTGTTCCCTCCCTGTGCTAGATGGACCTTTGCTCTGACCCAGTATAGCTGTTATGTTCCTTTTGCCAGACCCAGCTCACCCTGACCAATTCCTAGGCCCAGAGACACGTGGCTACCTTCAGTCCAAGACTCGTGGATGGAGGCTTTCTGCCTGAACTTTTCAGCGAGGTGGTCCAGCCGCTCCAGACGCCTGATCTCGTTCAGCAGCCACTCTTCGTAACCCTTCTCAGCCTGTTCCAAGTGCTGCCAGCCATTATTAATGTCCTGAGGTTCAAGCATAGGAAGCCAGTGGGTTAGAACAATGAATAGTTGGGTCAGAGCCAGAAAAATGTATGAAGCACATAAGGGAAATCTCAGCACGATGGGGAACAAATATTTCCAGGGTTTGCCAGTCTAGCAGGGGAGATCTTGCCGGTCAATGTCTGGAAGCTGAAGCTGGACAAAGAACATGGCTAACAGAGGAATTAATTATCACTGGGCAGGGTTAAATCAAGGAGAGATGTTTCTCCAACAGCTCTGCTCGAGTTATTTGGGGGCAGGTCTCTGGCCTGAGTTATACAGGGGACGAGACCACATGATCACAGTGGGCCTTTCTGGCCTTGAAGTGCATGAGTAGCCCGTATTTCCAGCAGGATGTCAGGGCAGGGACGCACCACCTCTCCTAGCCATGGGCAGGAGTGCGCAAGGACTATCAGTGGAGCGGCTGGCGGCGGGCCAGCATCACTAGCCATGGGGGAAGTTAAATGCCACAATGTCTTTGCTGCCAGGAGCTGAGGGGGGGGCAGGGCTTATCGGGGGGGCGGCTGGCGGAGCAGCAGCATCACTAGCCATGGGGGAAGTTAAATGCCACAATGTCTTTGCTGCCAGGAGCAGAAGAGCTTGCGCATCTCTGGCACACAGAGAAACGGGACACTGAAATGGCTGTTAATGCCCATGAAGGGCCCTGGCCTACACTACTGCGCTCCCAAGCCGGTATTTGTGGGGGTAAGCGAGATTCAGATTTGGCCCTTGAACTTCCAATGCAAGCTCACAAATCCAGCCCTTCTAGGCAGTACCGTTTGCAGCCAGGAAGCATGCAGAATACAAGGCGGCTGATTCTAGGCTGCAGTGCCCTGTACACAGGTCCCTAGCAGGAAGCTGCTGCTGGACAGTTAACAGAAGCAGAAAGTGGACTCAGACCAGCTCCCTCCTCAGCTGGGCTAAACTGAGTTGTGCTCACTCCGCTGTGCTGCAGGCGTTGCTCTGCTTCGCCCTGCCCCCCTTGCGTGCTTCAGGCAACACCCCAGCTACTCACCGAGACCATCTTGCCCTCCGAGGGCATGAAGGCAGGCCGGTTGCTCAGCCGGAGTTTAGTCTGCAAGGTGTTGAAGTTTATCTCCAGCTGACACTTCTCCTGCACTTTGGGAGGCTTATGGACCCGCCTGTAGTCACGGAAGTCTTCCAGTTTCTGCTGCATCTCATGAATGGTCTTCTGTGGGACACGGTCCTCCAGCCAGGGGACAGTGCGTTTAATCCACTCCAGCAGCTGCGGAAGGGCAGAGGCTGAGTAAAAGGAGCGTGGGGAGCAGCAGCCATCTCCCCCTCATCATTGGTTTTTAAAGGGGGAAAGTTGCTGTCATGCCAGGGACGGCACAACCTGACAGCATCCCATGGAGACACGCCTCCCCAGCTAGCAACACGCCTGGTCTCTCATCCCAAAGCTACTCCATCCTCAGCAACAACCCGCCAGGACCCAGCAGCCTCCAGCACACAGGGAGGGGACCAGAAGCCAGGGGACTCACGTCAGAGGCCAGTCTCTCATAGTCCTCCATCAGGTGCTCGTTCTCCTGGTTCACCGCCAGCACTTTGCAAATCCGGTTGGCTGCTGTCTCAGCCTGGGAGGAGACAGGGAGGGGAGATTTTAGGCTCATTTGCAGCAGAGCAGCCAGGACAAGCCAGCAGTCAGGTTACATCTGCCCAGCCCTCACACAGAGGACAGGCAGCCAGGCCCGTCAGAGGGACTGCCTGACCGCGCTAACGAGCGCTTGCCATGCCACGTGGACGATTTACTCCCCGGCTTCATCGGCCAGATGATGCCCTGTGTGCGACACACGACAGTGTAACTCGTCCAGCAGGGAGGCTGCCAGGCCCGGCGGCACTGCCCAGACAGCAGGGGTGAGGGTATGGAGCTGCCCAGGCGTGCTCTGCCAGCACCAGCTCTCTCTTCCCTCCGGTGGCTGAGGCTTCCGCCAAGCAGGGAGCCTCCCGCCGTGCTTGGGAGCTCAGGCTTGCAAGCTCAGCACAGCAGGTGATAGCTCAATGGCCTTGGGAGAACATTTGGCCTGAGCGCCGTGTGGCACCCAGCTCTGGGACAAAGCCGGTATAAGCCCTAGTGCTCATGACTACGCCTCATGTGCCTGTGTCTAAGGCGTCTCCCCAGGATCTTGTGAAAGCACAGCTTGCTAGCTGCAGTAATGGGCATGTGCTCATCACTGCAAGACTTCAGAGCCAGCCTGCAGCAATTACGAACAAGCTGCTGGTGTGTCATCTTCCCACTGCTGCTCCCAGATCCTCTCCTCAGCCCCCTGACACCCACAGCTTCCCTGGGCACCACGCCCAGCAAGAATGGGGCATGTAGTCAGTTGCAGCTGCCAGTGATACAAGCCCAGAATGCTGCATTCGCACATGGACCGTTAACTGGCCAGGCTAACAGAATTTGCGAACTAGAATTTTGCCAAGTTAGCATGTTTGTGGTAGGGCCAGAACCCCTCCATTTGGTGTCCCGCACTCCGTATTCAGCACCCTCAGACTCCCAGTGCGCAATGAACACAGGATTGGGCTGCAGAATTGGGTATTTGTCAAGGCACTGCCTGGGTAGTGTCCCGTGGCTTTCAGCAGTTGCATTTTGGATTACGGTCGTCCCAGAATTACAGCACTGAGGCCAGAAGTAGCCACGTTTATTAATCATTTCTCTGTGTCAGGGAGGACAAGCCCGTTCCTTGACTTAAATTTTACTGCAGTCTTTAGTACGATACACACATCTTCCTTCTGCCAGGCAGGTGGGGAAAGATGAAATCCCTGTGTTTTATGTAGGAGAATGGGACACATGGATGCAAAGAAGGAAAATCAAGAGATCAAGTACCTTGTAGGCAGCACAGAAAGAGTCCAAGAAGAGGAGTTGAAAGCCAGACATCAACAGAAATAGTGAAGAGGGTCTATAGGAGGATGGGGAGAGGAAAACAGCTGGGGAAACGAGTTGCCAAAAAGACTAGACATCAGAAGTTTGAATCCCTTTAGCAACAGAGCATGAGATAAGCAGTCTGGAGTCTAAGCAGTCCTCTGTTCCGCACACTGCAGGGCACCACGTAAACCAATTAGACATGCTCACAATGCAGCACACATCAGTTGCCACCTCCGACCTGGGCCTGGAATTTGAGAGCACGGCACACACACAAGCGCACTGGAAAAACCACCACATGCGAGAAGCTAATAAAGCCCAGCTGATGCAGAGAACATGCCAGCTGTGCTCCCAAAGATTAGGGTCAGACAAAGAACAATAAAACACGCTGGGCCAGGCCAGAATTTCACACGTTACACCCGCCCAGGGAGCGCCTGTGAGAAGTGCTAGCTAATGCACTGGAGTTCAGAATGGAAGAGAAGAATTTCAGGCCAGATGGGATAAGTCTGACATGCGGGTGGTTTCACACACTGGCTAGCAAACAAGGTTAATGCACCCAGCCAATACAAGGTTTTCGCTTTCCTGATATGATCCTGATCTTTAACGATCACAGCTTGGAGCCGAACAGACTGTGCCGACTAGCTTAATGCAGCCGGGGAGCAGCTGGCAGGGCCAGGAGCCTAGTTCTGCACTGGGGGTTGTTTTGGGGATGCTCTAAGGCCAGGTCAGACGAGATGGCCTCAGTGGCTCCTTCTGGCCTTAGAATCTCTGAACCGTAAAACACGGCGTGCTTGGGGCTGAGGTAATTTACGGATTGGGCACTCCCAACGTTCTGCTGCAAGCAGAGTCAACGGCTTCACAACTTCGCAGCCAGCAGCCCTGGCAAGCTCCCCGGCTCTGCCCTAGACTGTACTACAGATTAGGCCAATATCTGCTAGCTTGGGCAACTCCGTTCCTGACAAGGGGAATGGCCATTCAAAGCCCGAAGGCATGTCAGAGTAGTCGTGATGCCTACAAAACACATGAACAATCAGGCTCTTTAGCGTGCTCTGACCACTGCTCACCCCCTTGACTAACACGGTAACTCCACCATCTGTCTGGTCACCCGTTGTCTCAGACTGGAAAGTCTTCGGGGCACAGCTGAGCGTGGGTGCTGTGTTTGCAGAGTGCCTAGCACAATACAAGCAATAACGGAAGCTACTCCTCCTCTTTGGTCCAAGCACTCCTGGTGCCTCACGTTTGAAATGGAATGCTTCTAGTTCTGCCTGAGCAGTCTGTGCCGCCGTACTGCACATTCCCAACAGTGAAAAGCCGGGAGGACACACTACCAAACTAGAGCAGGACCATTTTATATGGCTGTAATGGCCAGGCACTTCATCTAGACTCGGGCCTCAGCCACTGAGGTCAGTTTCAGCGATGCACCAATAACAGGATGACAAGTAACAGCCACTACAGCGAAACTTGGTTCAGTCTCATCAGAAGGTCTCAGTGGGGCTGGCTCCTGTAGGGCAATCATGAGCCCTACCCCAAGGAGTTTACTCAACAGCTCTCTCAAAATCAAAGCAGGTCACATCAACTCGGTCTGCAGCAAGGCAGCCAAACGGCTCATTTCTCTCCTGAATTGCAGTTAGCGCTAAAATGGCATTTAAAGTGAATCAGCAATTCAAGATGCCTCTCAGCCTCCCACACCGCAGCAGCTACACAAGCACTTCCAGTCCAGCTGACCTGGATTTTCGCTCTACCAGCTACAACCATTTCGTGCGGTAAGGCAAGGAAGGAAGGGAAAACCACAGCTTAAGAACAGCGTGAAGAATGGAAGCAGCACAGCAATTCCTGCTTGCAATCTAGCTTCAGATTTTAGCGAGCAGAATGCTGGTAAGAGTAACCCTGGTAGATCTGCTGTTAGCAGAGGTGCCTCGTTCTGAGAGCCAGAGGTGGAATGGCTCGCTCCCACAGACCAGTGAGTCAGGGCAATGCTAGAATGTAAGGTAAGGGAGCACAAGACCCATTTCCAAAATGGGCTTTGTCTCAATGACGGTTAATGGGCTTTTGGGGGCCTCAAAACCCAGGCACTTTTGAAAATGGGACTTAGCACTTGTGGTATGGTATCAAAATGTCATTATCTAGGGGCAGTATCTAGCTACCGCTGTAGGAAATTCTTCCCAATCAGTTTTCAACATGAAGAGTCACATTGGTTTCAGAGAACACCTGTCCTTTCCCCAACAACGCAGAGGGAACAGAAGGCTAGCCTATTCTGGATTTGGGCACTGTCAGGAGCGGAGTGTGTAGTTTGCTTGTGCATTGCTTAAGCAATGCCTCGCTGACAGAACTCCAGACCTAAGCTTCCTGGTGATCATTTCCACTACTAAAGAAACAAACGCTCCCCGAGATAAAAAGGGGCTAAGAAAGCTTCTATAGAGATTGCTGATGGCAATATCATTTGGTGCTACTTTTGCTGCAGTGCCTAAGAGCAGTGCTAAGGGCTCTGAATAAGAACTGTAACTGCACGAGACAGAGCTTGGGAAGGGGATGAGAAAGCAAACAGGACAGAGACGAGGTTAAACTGTCCTCACCAAGGCTTTCAAATGATTTCAGTGCTGCCGCTACTCGACATGCCAATGACCTGAGCGCAATGCCTTGTGCATAGACATGGCATTTTCATGGGAAATGAAAAGCCTAATGCAGAATCAAATTTGATTAAGTCAACGGAGTCACCCAGATTTGTGCTCATTATGCCTGTGAGCCAAATTCCCAGTGTGATCGTAAATACCTGCATGCTAATTTCAGCCGAGCACTCTGTCAGCTATCCCCCTGCACCCTGACAGCCACGGGGGCTGTTATTTGGGAACTTAACGAACCCTCTTCCGCACATCCCCAGCTGGATTCCTTTTTAATTTCATTTGGGACAGCAGTTTGAGTTTTGACATCTTTGCATCAAGCATGGTGAATGAGCCTCAGTCAGGGGACTGTAACTGTGGCTTGTTGGAACGTAAGCCAGTACACTGCTTGCTTACTCTCCAGTACTGTAAAAAGTCGCTGAGAAGACCTTACATTTAACACCAGCGTTTGGAGATCAGTGAAAAAACCCAGTTAAAACCTTTTTCTCCCTCCCAGCTGCTGGAAGTAGTGACCCGTGGGTAGGGGTAGGGCTACATACAACATACAAACCACCCTGGATTTTATCATTGCCCAGGGCTTCATTACTGCTCCTCCACCGATCTCAAATGATCATTCCGACCCTGCTTTCACTCTTCACATTCCTCATAAGCCCTTAATGCCAGTGTAACAAGCCCCAGAGAGTTGCTTAGTGTACAAGATTAGTGGCAGCTGAACCAGACAAGACATGCGTAGAAGCAGAAGCAACTCCCCCTGCCAAAAGCTCACCTTCTGAGCCCCCGAGAAAGCATGGTAGAAGCAGGAAACGTATGTCATGATGGCCTTTTCATCGGGCCTGAGAGTGCCTACAATATCTGCGCAGAAAGAAAGGGAGGAGAGAATGAAGAGCTCAGCGTGGGAATCTCCCAGCCCCTCTGGCATGCAGCTGAGGGGGAACAAGCGCTTGCTTCAGACTGGAATCCAAACCTAAGCTGGAGTGTGACTCAGCCACATGGGCTGTTCTGCGGCTTTAAATCCTTTCCACTCAGTTCAGCGTTCCTGCCCCTAGCAGTGCAGGTCTCTCCAAAGACTAGCTCTATCCTCTCGCAGCCCTTGCTTTGAAAGCCTGGCTAGCTGCTTGGCATTCCACTTCACACAGCTCTTTGTCGACCTACTGGTTATTGCTACACTAAAGACCTGGCCCAGTCCCCTACTCCACAGGGATGAGCGTGCTGGTCCCTCTAGTGTTGCATAATAGCTGGAACCACAGGAGCTGGCCAGCACCCAGCGCATGTATGAGCTAGCTGAGGTTTGCTTTCCAGTCAGCAAGAGACCACTGCCATCTGCAAGAAAAACTGGGTCAGCGTAGGATGCTGCAGTTCGAAGAGTTACAGTGGGACGGACACAGCTCCCTTGGGTACCTTCTGCGCGCCAGAAAAGGCATGGTAGAAGCTGGATACATAGGTCATGATGGCCTTCTCATCAGGGCGAGCTGTGCTGACAATGTCTGCAAGCAAACAATAATGTTAATGCCCTCCTGGGGAGAGCCTGGTTTCAGAGTCCAGCTTGATGGCAAAGGCACACCCTGCGTGCCAATCAAACCCGCTCTTCATTCTGGAGTCCTGCAGAGAAAACAGCTCTCTACAAAAGAAGTGCCAGAGTATCTGGAGGGGCAGCCGAGGACATGGAGAGTGTCCTGGCTAGACCTCAGGGTGGGGAAGATAAGCCTGTCTACCAGGACTGAGTTCGTTTGCAGCTGTTGGTACTGAATTCATCCTCAGGCCGAGCAGCTGTTACAGTTTCTGCTAATCTTTTACAAAGGGAATGTTGGCCACAGCATGCAGTGAGATTAGCACTGCACAAAACAGGAACTGGGGGGCACTTTGACCCAAGTAACCAATACACAGTTCCTCAATTCCGGCCTCACTTCTGGTTCCGTACACACCATGGCCCCTGCCAGGAAAGGTCACTGGCTTCCGTGAGCATTACATTCCCAAAGGTGAATGCAGAGCTGGGCAAGGCCAAGGTCTCAGCGGGCAGCCAGCTCCTGCTGGGAAACAGAGTCTGGCTTAAAGGGATCTGATCAGGACACGTGACAAGTGTTTTCTTCCAGTCCAGTGCTTTAGGTTTGAAGTGTTTTCCACACAACATCTACCAGCCTCAAAGCGGCATGATCAGTGCCGTGACCTCTCAGCTCCAAGCCGAGCCATATAAAGAGTGGATGTGTGAATGCTGTAGGGAAGGCCGCTTTTCAAGACAAGTCAGACCGGTTGCCCCGTCAGACCAGACCAGCGGATTCCCAGTCCGAAGGGATCCAGCAACGGAGAAATGCCCTTTCTTTTTGCCTTGACGAGCAGGTTGCTCGTGGGCCTGGGCTGCAGCAATGGCGGGAGTGCTTGGAGAGCTTACCCTCTGCGTCCAACATCTTGGGGATGTCGAGGTATTTCTCAGCCACCTCGAAGGCGTTGTTCAGATTTGTCACAGGGTCATCCTGGGAAAAGGAAAGTTGTGAGAAGTGGCGTGAGGGTGTTATGAACCCAGGTCACTCAAAATTCCTCCTAACAGATGGTCGGCTCAGCAGGCGGTCTAACCTCCCTCCCTTTCCTTTGGAAGGCAGACTTGCTGTAGCATTCACGGCTGATCTTTCCCACCGCAGATCCAAAGGTTCCTTAATTACCCTCTCCCATGAGCCGACCATTCCCTGCCAGACTCCAACTCCTGTCTCACCAAACGCAGCAGTCAGGTGAAAGGAAGGGTTTTTCCAAATCGTCCCTTCTAGCACCGAAAGTCACAGCCTACACCTACAATGGGGGCATGAGCGGTTAAGTGGGACGTGCTTCCTTGGGACACACCCAGGAGCACAGAACTTGGCTTCTGTGGAGAGAAAACAGCCGCTGCAGAGACGTACCTTTCTGAGCTTGTCGTATTCAATGAGCTCTGGCCTGTGTCTGTGGATCAGGGCATTGAACGCAAGACCATCCTTCCAGCTGCAGAAAAGATCAGAGATGGTGCTGATGCACAAGCTCTGTACCACACATGACACACCATGATCCCCAGGACACACTGGCGACTCCAATGCATTTTTGTCCCATTCCCCTTGCTTTAATGTCTCTCAAGGTAGCAGGCTCGAGTACTACACCAAGTTAACTATGGGCTTCCTTTAGACTGGGCCTTGCAGGTTTTTCCACCCCTGAGAACAGCAACCCAGATAAGCAGCAGTAATGGCTGGAATTGCAGATTTAGCAAGGGCAAAAACATGCATGAATTTGGGGGTTGTTCCAGCCAAGTAGCGCTAAAAGCACCACTCTCCTAGTGGCAGGCCCGTTGAATATTTCATGGGAATGTCTCAGAGGCTCAGGGAATGGGCTATTTCTTGCTGTCTAAGACCCGCGGCGCTGCCTGCCAACATGGAGTGCTCTTTCTGAAGCGTGGAAAGGAGCAGACAGGTGAACACTCACTAAGAGGAGGCATGGCAAGCAGTTACCTGATGTGAAAATTTTGTACGTTGACATTTTTGTAGGGCGCGGTCTTCCTCTGGCACCACAGCAGCAAGCCTTCCTTGGCAGAGGTCTCTGCAAGAGGCACAGGGCAATTAAGAGACGATGTCCAGGAGCGTCTCTCTCCTGGCAGAGATTTAATCCAAGAACATGAGACAAGAGTGCAATAGATGGCAGGCTATCCAGACAGCAAAGGATGCAACCTGGACCCTGTGTTCAAGTCACAAGCCAAGCACTGTCATTCAAATTAAAGGTTGTGTGTCACCATTTTCTACCAGAGCTGTCTCCAACTAGGGATGTGAATGGGTAACCTTACCTGGTGACGCTTACTAGGTAACAGTTAACTGGTCCCCGAGGAGACACACCTCCGCTAGTCAGTTAACCAGTTAAACGTTAGTTTAATCTCACGTTTAGCTTCTTAACTGATTAACCGGGATTTTACAGCTCTAGCTCCAACGGCAGTCAAAAAAAGCAAATAGGATGCTAGGAATTATTAAAAAAGGGATAGAAAATAAGACAAAGACTATCTTACTGCCCCTATAATAAAACTATAGTACGCCGACATCTTGAATACGGTGTACAGATGTGGTCGTCTCACCTCAAAAAAAGATATTTTGGCATTAGAAAAGATTCAGAAAAGAGCAACTAAAATGATTAGGGGTTTAGAACGGGTCCTATATGTGGATAGGGTAAAGAGACCGGGACTTTTCATTTTAGAAAAAAGAAAAGAGGAGACTGAGGGAGGATACGATAGAGGTATATAAAATTGAGTGGTGTGGAGAGGGTGAATAAAGAAAAGTTATTTACTTGTTCCCATAATATAAGAACTAGAGGACACCAAATGAAATTAATGGGTAGAAGGTTTAAAACTAAAACAAGAAAGTTCTTCACACAGCCAACCTGTGGAACTCCTTGCCAGAGGAGGCTGTGAAGGCTAGGACTATAACAGTTTAAAAAAGAGCTAGATACATTCATGGAGGTTAGGTCCATAAAAGGCTATTAGCCAGGGGGTAAGGAATGGTGTCCCTGGCCTCTGTTTGTCAAAGGCTGGAGAAGGATGGCAGGAGACAAATTGCTCGATCACTGTCTTCGGGCCACCCCCTCTGGGGCACCTGGCTCTGGCCACTGTTGGCAGACAGGATACAGGGCTAGATGGACCTTTGGTCTGACCCAGTATGGCCGTTCTTAAGTTCTGTTCTAGGAAGGGCATTCTCCAGTTGGTGTGCAGAGTCAGGAGAAGCTCATCTTCCTTCTGTTATCAATCTGGGTCAGCAAAGGGAAGACAGTAGCCATTTAGCAACAGAGCAAGTGAAGCAGAAGCCTGAGTTAAGATGACGGCACAGCACGTGATTTAGTGAAAGATACCAAAGCAAAAGAAGCGTGCATAGGAAACGTGACTTGCAGCTGCATGAACTGAACAGAATGACCATAAAACTGCATCAATTCACTGCACCAGTTTTATTTTCTGCATCGCACATGCTTTGTGCCGTAGTTACACGGATGCCTGTAATGTGCAGAAGAGCAAAGCAAAGAGTTAGGACACCGCTTGCAGAAGTCTGGATCTTACCTTCCACAGAAATGTCCTGAATGGCAAATCGAAGGATAATTGTCCAGATCATACCCAATGTCATCTTCGCATTGCCATCTACAATCTCTGAGGAAAGAGAAGAACATTGACATTAAAACTCACCAGGGATTCAGGAAAAGTTCATTTTCTAAATGCAGACAAGAACATCCGGGAGCAAGCAAGCTAGGCAAACTATTTCAAGTGGCACTACAGTAAAGAGCCATTAACACCCAGTGTTTGTCTAGGGTTCAGCTGAAAGCCAAATAGTAAGCCAACTGCATCTAGAAAGAGTTTCTTGCTTTTGGACTCTGGCGTGTCTTTCACCAGTTTACATTTATTCTAGAGGGGACAGAGGGACAACGCTTCTATGAAGGACATGTGGAGGCTAATCTTTTCATTCAAAGTTAGAGCTCACACCTGAAGACTCTACTCTGGCGGGCAAATAAGGAGCAGTAAGGAGAAGCCAAAGATTTCTTCTGATACTTGACAGAGGAGCACAGGTAACAAGGCCAGCATTCACAGTTGCGCTAGCTAAAGCCTCTTCCAAACCAAATACAGCCTCTCTCCGAGTTATGAACCGGTTACGGACCAAACAATTGGTTGTAACTTGGTTTGTTCGTAAGTCGGACCCTATAGAGTTACACGCGACCACGCTGTCTGTAAGCGTGGATCGCGTTTGTAACTCAGGGTCCGCCATTTACGACAGCTTCAGTTGTAACTGCGAACGGTCGTAAGTCAACCATTTGCAACTCGCAGACCGGCTGTAACCCCTTCAAGGATTCCATGTAGGTATCAAGAGGGTTGTAGAATGGTCACAGCAAGAGCTGATGTCTAGGAGAGCTCGGAGGGAAAACTGATGCTTGTCTCAGAAAGCTCACCCCTGCACCTCGGATTGCAATGTGGCATAGCTGGGACAAGCAGTGTTTTCAGGTACAGTCGAGAGAAAGAAAAAAAACACACCATGTATTATATTTAGAGATGGAACCTCAGTGTGAGCCATGATACCTGATTAAGTCAAACCGGCTTTGTGTGGTAGCCTAGTGCCAAGTGACATCCTAGCAATACCCTCGGGTGCCTAAGCAACAGTGAGAGTGTCACAAGTCCTAGCACCAGGTTGTGGTTCTGTGAGCAAGGACAGGTTCTATGAAGAGTTGTTGCAGCTTGTACTCCTGGGGAAACAAACTGCCACAACAGATTAGCCCAGAACCCTATCCAGGAATGGCTGCCAGTGCCAGATGCTTTAGAGGGAGGGAGGAAGCAGAGGTTTCTTGCTCCAAGGGAAGCTCTCCCCAAACCCCCATCACTCAGCGGCTTGCTAATATCCCGAAGCACAACAGGTTCAAACATGCTAATAAAATATTCATGTCTAATCTTACTGCTCCTGGAGGGATACATTTAACCAAATGTATTCTCCCACACTCAACTCCAACAAAAATAGCAAGAGAAAACACATGTTTAAAAATGTAGTAGCGTGGACAATCTAAAGTAGAGCGCTGTCACTGATGTGTGTTCATGCATGTACAGAAGCCACCAATAAGGAGACAGTTTAAGTTCTCTTCTCGACTACCCTTTTCAGGAAGGAAGAGAGGAAAAATTAACTGCTTTGAATGCAAAGTAGTTATCTTTAAATAACTTGAAACCTGTCAGTTTCATTAGTGAGAGAACATATAGTACTTCTCCCTCATCTAAACTCCCTTAGGAACCCCAGAAAGAAGAACAAAGGTTATAAAATCAGGTAAAAAACCTATAAGGCTTTATGATAAAGTTTCATTAAGGAAGTATCCAAAAAACCCTGTGCGATCTGTCTAAATGGTGAACTCACAATTAATAGCATTTGAATGGACCATCTAGCTGGATATTTTTACTAGAGCGAAGTTCCGTGCAGCTCCTCTGGTCTTGGACAGACAGCTAGGGACAGCCAGAGTTAGGAGTGGGTCCAACCATAAAGAACCACTGAAGAAAATCTGAGAGCAGGATTTCTGTTTTTTAAACCATAACAAGTTGGCTGTCGGCATGTGTGTTTGGCAAAGCTGAAAAATTCCAGGCCTGGAAACTTGGAACAATGCAAAATACAAATATTTTGCTTTTCTGGATGCATTCTTTGATTCAATCACTAACAGCAATTGGTTTAAAAAACAGCAGCATGATGCCATCTGACTGACCATGGAGAAAGAATCATGCCTTGAACTAATTGTTCAAACGGCTTTACAGACAGTCACCAAGGTTCAGTATTAATTTCCAAGCTCTCAAAATGCTTTCAAGCTGTCTTGAGCATACTTGGCTTCCCATGGATATAGCTAACAGAGAGGAGGATTTACTCTTCACACAGGGCCAATTCTATTTGCACTACACTCAGACAATCCAAGACAACGATACTACTAATTCCACTAGAATTTACTGTACACCACCTCCCATAAGCTTGAGGTTTTCCTTCCCCACCCCTTTAGCACTCAGACACGGTGGATTCAGTTTCTCTGGTGTTTCTGTGGCTGTTACTCCAATACTAGGGATGTGAAAGGTTAACCATGATGCTTTCCAGTTCACCAGTGGGGGTCAGAGCAGCAGCCTGGCAGCAGCAGCCCCTGTCCATGGTGGGCCTGGCAACTTAGATAAGTGTCCCCTTCCTAACCAAATATGTTTTTGCGCATACAACAAAAGAACAGAAAACTTGGGGGCGGGGGGGGGGTCTGAATCCATTAATTCACAATAGAGGGAGCTGTAACTCCACAGTGGTGAGATGAATGAACCCAGGCTAGAAATGACATTTACTGCACTTCTGGTGATTTGGCTGCTAAAGAGCTGGACACCCAGACTTTTTACTTGGTCTGTAACTCTTATTGTCCAAGTGGTGTTCTTGCCATCCAAGGAATAGGCACAGTGAATATAAACGTTGCCCTTTATACATGAACAAGTTCTACTATAGGCTGAACCTCTCTACTCCAGCCATCTCTGATACAGCAACATCCGTGGTCCAGCATGAATTTCATTAGCCAGATGTCCACTTATCATGGGTGTGGCCAAGTTTTCTGCAGCCCCTTTAAGTGTTTACAGAGGCCATCCTGGTTCAGGGTTCTGTGCTGTTAGTTAGCTCTAATTTACCCCTAAATGCCTTCTAAGAGCCCAGCAAGCAGTGGGCGTGTTGGTAATGCTAATACACAACATTGACCTTCCACGGTCCGGCAAATTCTCTTGTTCGGCATCTGTCAGGTCCCGGGGTGCCGGATTACAGAGGTTCAGTTGGTACAGTATTTAACCCCGTATATTCACAAAATTACAGCAACTGCAACCAACTATTGTTTGAATGCAGCTAGGCTCCAGTCACTCAAATGCACCTCTGGGCCAATTTATCGCTTTCTATTGACTGAATTATATGCATTTGGTGTCATTCATATGCATGAGGGCTGAAGTGATCCAATACCTCACTCTGTAGAGAGAAATACCACTTCCAATTACACAGCATGACTTAGGACTCCTAATGCAGTAGGCCCTCAGAGTTACGAACCCCAGAGTCAGAAACTGCCTTGTCAAAAGTACCATTTGGTACCGGAAGCCCGGAATCAGGCAATAGCAGAGACAAAAAAAGGCAAATACAACACGGTACTGTGTTAGCAGAAGCTACTAAACACATCACCTTCCCCTTTAAAAAAGATCTGACAAGGTAAGGAAACTTTCTGTGCTTGTTGCATTTAAATAAAGATGGTTAAAAGCAGCATTTTTCTTCAGCATAAAGTTTCAAAATTGTAAATCAATGTTCAGTTGTAAGCTTTGAAACAACCACCCCAAGGTCCTGTCCATAGTTACAAATATATCAGAGTTACAACCACCTCTATTCCTGGGGTGTTTGCAACTGAGATGCTACCGTAGTCAAGAATTAAAGCTGGCTGTCAATACATTCAGAACCCTAAATGACATACCTTCAGCTCCTATAGAGACCAGCTTGACACCTTTGCTAGCGATGAAGTCTAGAGCTTTGTTCACATTGTTGATTTTATGCACTCTCATTTTCCCTCGCTCTGGTTTGGGTAATCGCTCTCCTAAAGGGAAAAAGAAGAGTTACCACTTTCCTTTATAGTCTTATGTGAGAGCTAAAATCACTGATGGGAAAGACCTTTCTGTAGCAGAGGGCTTGAGGTGTGAGGCCCAAGTCCATTCCATTCCAAGTGCATGCACACTCACGTGCAGGCAGATTTCTGCCTTAGTGGTATCCATAGTCAGCTGTGGTGCCCCGCAGAGCACTATGCTTGTGCGCTGGCACGAGGCATCACTGGCCCTATGTCTTCCTTCTTGCTGCCACAGAACAGCAGGAGGGCAGGCAATGGGATGGAGATGGGTAACAAAGAGCAGTTACAAACATCTGGTGGCAATTCTAGTCCAGTGTTCACAAGCAACACCCTCTGAGCGCAGAGCCCTAGCGGCCACACCAGTGAAGAGGCAGGCCCTCCTTCCCTCTGGGGCAGTTCTGCAGGTTTGGAGCCTGATGTGCTTCCCCCACGCGGAATTCAGACCCTCCTTCTGACTCCAGGGCCAGCAGTGCTGGAGGTGGTGCATCCAGAGCCGGGCAGGCACCACGGGCACGCCCCGGACTCCAGCAGGTGCCATACTGAGCTCGCCTCTCCTCGGCGAGGGGCTGAACTCCTGGTGCAACTCAGATCTCGGCTCCCTTCTGGGGAGCACAGAGGAGCCACGGAGGCTTGAATTTGCTGCCCAACCCTGGTTGTCAACTGGTGAGACAAGAGCAAGGATCAGTGCCTGCCTGATAAGTGGTACTGGAGAGTGGGGGCCAGTGCTGTGATGGGGAGCAATCTTGCCTAGGGAGGAACCTGGGCCAGGCAACCTCTAGCCAGAAGCTTGCCAGTACTGAGGGTGCTAGGATGAGTGCATCAACTTCCATGTCATATGCCACACAGGCTGAGCGCAGGGCAGACACACCTGGGCCTTCTGACTGGAGACAGATCCCACTGAAAGGCCTAGGCCATGGTGAAGGGGACCTATGCCTGCAATCCAGGGCCCCAGATGCTCCACTGCCCTATGAGGCAGTCCCATGACTGGCTTGCCCTTAGGTGCTGGGGTCTTAGTCAAGTCTGGCACCTGGTGTGGTGTCTAATGCTGGCCAGCCTGTGGCCATTTTGATGTAAATGAAGCAGCGATTATTTAAATCACTGCTTCATTTTCCTATGTCTAGTAAACTCATCTACATGGCTCCGTCGACAGAGCCACGTAGTCTAGACATACCCCTAGAGTGGAATGGACATGAGTAAGCACTCGAAGTCGTCATCCCTTCACAATGATGTCCAGGGCTGAAGAGCTGTTTGTAGATTGCTGAAAAGGTTACTCCTAACATGAACGATTTGCTCAGCTATGCATTAGCAATCAGACTGTCTTCGTACAATGCGCATTGCAAAGGGGTCCTAGGCCCTACAGTAATACAAATATTCACAGACACAGTGGGTGACCTACATTGTAACAGATGCCTAGTTGTACAGGAAGTTCCAACACTGGTTTGTAAATTGATTGTTTGAAACTCAGCACGTGCTTTCCCATAGAAACAAGGTAGTAAAGGGTAGACAGGTTCCCAGGCTAGCCCACAAAAGCCTATGTAATCCAGAATGTAGCTGAAATACTGCACGTTTGCAATGAAGAAAGTAGAGAGTTTTTTATTTAACCAGGAATGCTGGTGCTTGAGGAAAAGCAGGCTTAATTCAATGGGGATGAGGAGGCAGGTGGAGATTCTGAAGAGGACTTCTGGGCATTCTCTCATTGCCACCTCTGCCTGCAGGCTCTGCATCAGCCTCTGTGGCCACCCACCACCACAGGCTCAGCACTGGCTCTGGAAGGCTGGAGGACTCCAGAGGAGCAGAAGGTTGGGCTGTGCAGCCAGTGTCCAGAGAGAGCGGCAGTTTCTCCTTCAACGTGCTGCTTCTCTCTAGATGCTGGCAATGTGACTGCTGTCTGCTCCTCTGGCCAGCACTCGCTGCCACTTGTGCCTCTTGCCTGCTCCCATGAGGCTGCAGGTAAGCTCTATTTGTAAGCCAGGGAGTGCCTGCATTGTGGCAGTACCTAGAGACCCTGGCCTAAAGGGATGTCTGCACTTCAAACACACCCACGGCTTGCAGTGCTCGGACTGCAGGATTGTAAAACTGTGCTGTATATGTTCAAGCACAGGCTGAAGCCAGAGCTGTGGGATTCCAGCCTGAATACCTATCCTGCAATTGCATAGCCTCACAGTCCAAGTGAACTGATCAGGGCTGGCCACAAATGTTTAAACTGCAGTGTAGACATACGCTAATTGGAAATAAGAGTCTCATTGTACACCCATAACATGGCGACGGGCCAAAAAGCCTTACAATTTAAGTGACAGAATGGGAGGGAGCCCAAGATTTCCGGGATCCTTTAATTAACCTGTACAGCAGTAGTCAGTTACACACCTGAAATGACCTCCAAGAGCAACATTAGTTTGAGCCCATCGCGGAAATCTTCGTCTATGTTCTCAATCTGCGTGCCAGCCTTCCGCAGGTGAGAATTGCACCAGGCTGTAAAAGTCTGAAAGAACAAGAGAAGGAGGGTGTGTTATCGCAGTATTCAGTCTACAAATGAACAAAGGCTTAATCTAAGCTATCCAGGTTTACATGAATTAAGTTATTTGGATCCAATAATTGACACCACAACATGGTGCTGTTCTCATCAGTGTGCGTATACATTGATGCCCTATCTTGGATAGTTCTATTCACTGTGCTCACTTCATTTCTAAGTCCGCTCACTGCTGGACAGTATCATTACCACCTTACAAAGGTTTTCGCTCCGCTATCATTTCCCCAAAAACTTATTCCAAGAACCACTACTTCATCCTGTCTTGCAGCAGACTAACAGCTTGACCCAACATTTTTAGACTTGACCAAGTGCTATCTTGGAGCTGGTAGAACAAGAGGGAGCTTTAGCAGATAACAGAATTGCATTTAGTGGACATAAAAATGCTCACCACATTTAGCAAACACACATGAGCAGTACCTTGCTATACTACAGAGGTATGTGGTTAACATGGACAAGCAGCCGCTGCAGAGCGCACAAGCAGTTCCTGCATGAGCAAAAGACAGACCATTCTGGCTATAGCTGGACGCTCTCAGTCTATTCTTGGTTTCCGGTGGCCTCCTTGCTATGGCAAACAAACCCTGAGCTACAGAGCTTAAAATTGCACATACCACAACTCCGATGTGAAAAACTCCACATGCTAAATGCCAGTGTAGCTTGGCCACTGCAGTGCATTAGTTCAATCCTTCCAGCTTAGAGTAACATTTAAGCAGCCCACACACAAACATCACAACTCCCCTCACTACAGGGAGCAATATTCAACACTTGCAATATCGCAAGCTGCTGTTCAGATGAGAGGCACTCTCTCGAATAAAGATGTTAAGATCTGTCACTGAAGAAACGCTATATTCGCAACCCCACACAAGATTAGTACTGCCAGAGGAATACACGAACAGCTGCAGAGCATTCTGGACAGACATCATTTGTTTTGACAACTGTTACTAAGCCTGTTCATTCAAAAACTCCTACAGTAGCTGTCTAATTGATACTCTATCCTACACAAAGCCCTCAGAGAGCAAACATGGTAAGGTTAAAATGTGATACTCTAAGGATTTAGGCATGTGCCAATTTGAAGAGCTGCCACAGATTTACCCTCTATCTGATGAGGAGCACTTTGCCGACCAATCCTGTAAACCTCGTTTCACGAGGCATAAGGGAGCGGTCAGCAAAGGCTTCCCCAGTCGACAGATCCGCATCTAGACTGCTGCGCTGTGTCGGATCAGCTGATCTTCGGGCACAGTGCGGCAGCCATGTTTATTTTAATGAAGCGGGGATTATTTAAATCCCCGCTTCTTTGACTATGCTGAATACACTAATTTACATGGGTCGACGGAGCCATGTAGTCTAGACACATCCTTGGAGTGTGGAAAGTGACATGACTTCATAGCAAGCAAGCAAGACTGCAAGGCTGAAGAATAATGCTTGGCAAGTCAGAACTAGCACAGGTATGTGTCTCAATTCAGGCTGTGTCTACACTTAAAACTTTAATGCGCAACAGCACAGTGCTTTAAATCGAAAGTGTGTCCATGGCACGAGCACTGGAAGAGATCTCCTAGCACTCTATATACGTCACCTTCACGAGGGGAGTAGCTAACCCAGCACTCTACCCTGGCTCACACTGGTGTTTTCTAGCGCTTTGGTGGGGAGGGAGGGTGTCATAACCCTGGGCCAGAAAGTTACAGTGCTCTAAAATGCCAGCGTAAACTCAGCCTCAGTGTGTTACCATGGGACACCCACATCTTGAATACTGCATACAGATGTGGTTGCCTCTTCTCAAGAAGATACTGGCAATGGAAAAGGTTCAGATTACGGGTCCCACATGAAGAGAGATTAAAAAGACATTGATTTTTCAGCTTAGAAAAGAGGAGACTGAGGGAGTATAGAATAGAAGTCTATAAAATCATGACTGGTGTGGAAAAAGTGAATAAGGAAAAGTTATTTACGTGTTCACATGATATAAGAACTAGGGGTCACCAAATGAAATTAATAGGTAGCCGGTTTAAAACAAAAAGGAAGTTTTTCTTCATGCAGCATACAGTCAACCTGTTGAACTCCCTGCCAGAAGATGCTGCGAAGACTTTTGAACAGGGTTAAAAAAAGGGCAAGATAAATTCATGGAGTTAGGTCCATCAATGGCAATTAGCCAGGATGGGTAGGAATGGTGTCCTGAGCCTCTGTTTGTCTGGAAATGGATGACAAGAGGGTGATGGTTACCCACATGATGATTACCTGTTGTGTTCACTCCTCCTGCGGCATGTGGCATTGGTCACTGCTGGCAGACAGACACCGGGCTAGGGTCTGACCCAGTATGGCCGTTCTTATCATAAAACCAAAAGGGACCTTGAAAGCTCATCAAGTCCAGTCCTCTGCCCCCATGGCAGGACCAAGCATGGTCTAGATCATGGGTTCCCAAATTGGGGGGCATGAAGAAATTCCATGGGGCCCGCCCCCCCCCCCATCAAGTTTTGCTGCCCCAGTCAGTTCCTTTTTTTTGCTCAACAAGTTTTGCTGTTTGGGGAGGGGGGGATGAGGGTTTTTCAAAAATCAAAAAGGGGGCGTGATGCTGAAAAGTTTGGGAACCACTGGTCTAGATCATCCCTGACAGGTATCTAACCTGCTGTTCCACAATCCCCTTAGGCAATTGATTCCAGTGTGTCACCGCCCTGACAGGCAGGAAGATGTCCAACCTAAACCTCCCCGATACACTTAAAGCCCATTGCTTGTCATCCTATCCTCAGAGGCCAAGGAGAACAATTTTTCTCCCTCCTTCTTAGAACACCCTTTTAGATACCTGAAAACAGCTATCACATCCCCTCTCAGTCTTCTCTTTTCTAAACTTGACAAGCCAATGTTCTTATGTGCCGAGAAACACTAGTATAATGGTACCAATGGACGATTACACCAATCAAACTGGCATTCACTCTAAAAAACCCTCCTCCACACATCCTGAGGACAGCATGCCCAACACATAGGCTGGGAGAGAAGAACATATGTTAGGAATTACTCAGGTCTACCGGAGAAGAAGTGGGTTTTGTCATTTTGCATGCTCGGGGTAAAATAAAAACTACATGAAACACTGAAAATGGGGGCATGTTTCCCATTCTTGTATATTAGGAACTTTTGTTCAGCAATACCTTTTAGATGTAAGTTATTTCCTGAAGAAACCAGATAGCTGCAGAGAAAAGACTCCTCTTTACCAGAAGTTGGAGAGATTGCATACAATTTCACAATCAACTTTTTTCCTAATAGTTAAGACTGCTAAAGGCCAGTGTAGGCACAAGGTCTGCCCTTTCTGGAACGCTAAAGAAAGGTAATTAAGCAAGTGGCACATTTTGTCATGCAACACTCCCACCCCCAGCTAGGGTGATGAGCAGTAGTCACAGGAAATCACTGTCTCTTTGTAGTTTATTAATATTTGCTGTACTTCAAAGTGTCTGACGCTATAAAAAGCCTTCCCCTGCCTCCAGGAAGCGTACTCTCCGATTCAATGGCAAGCCCCCTTTTAGAAGTAGCATGGAGCACCCCCATTGACATGAAATCCAGAAACTGCTCTGCCTGCTCAAGAAGTGAGCTGAACAGTTCTGTTCAGAGCAGCTGAGAAGTGATGCCTTAAAGACTTTTCAGAATAAGCCACAAGTTACACAGCTTTGGAGAAAGTTACTTTCCAAGAGGAAAAGCCTTATTTTACTATAGCTAAACACACAGCTACTCAACACGTGGCCCACGGGCCGCATGCAGCACAAGGCCTGTTTCTTTGCGGCCACAGTGCAGTTTGGGTTTATGGGGGGCTCAGCACGTGGCCCGCGGGTGGGAACCAAAACAAGAGTCGTCAATATAGTGATCTTCTGCTGAGATGCATGTTAGTGTTAAATTCCTGGACTGTCATTGCTCTTTAAAAGTGCTGTCATAGGGGTGGAAGTCGGAGAAATGTTGCATTTTATTAATAGCCGCAGAACTGACTTAAATGGGGCCTGTGTGTTGTGTAGTCTTGCCTTAACCTTTGTCTTCATGCCTGGTGAGAAAGAAGCTATTTGCATGTATTTGCAATCACCTTTAAGTTGCAGCGGCCCTCAGCATGTGCTGTGAGTATCATTGTGGCCCCCCACAGCTTCTAAAGTTGAGTAGCCCTGGCTAAGAACATACGAACAGCCACAATGGGTCAGACCAAAGGTCCATCTAGCCCAGTAGCCTGTCTTCTGACAGCAGCCAATGTCAGGCACCCCAAAAGGAGTAATGAACAGGGAATTATCCATAAAGTGATTCGCTAGGGAATTCCTACCCATCCTGGCTAATAGCTGTTGATGGACCTAACCTTCATGAATGTATCTAGTTCTTTTTTTAACTCAGTTAAAGTTCTGGTCTTCATAACATCCTCTGGCAAGGAGTTCCACAGGTTGACTATGCATTGCATGAAAAAAAAGACTTCCTTTGTAGGTTTCCAACCTGATACTAGGAATGTAAAATCTCCTTTAACTAGTTAACCGGTTAAACTTTAACTGGTTAACTGATTAAATGGGGACAGGAAGAGGGCGCTCCAGCCCACAGCCCCCACGCCATAGGCAGGGATTGCTCCCAACCCTGGCTGCTGCTTCTGACCCTGTCCGAGGGCCTGCATGGGCTGAGAGCTAGCAGCGCTTTCCCCCTCTTCTCCTCCCCCACAATGCCATCAGCAGCCTTGCGAGGCTGTCCCCGGGGGGTCGCGAGCAACTGAGAGGGGGGTCATGGTATCACAAGTTTGAGAACCCCTGCATTACCCGTTTACGACCCCCTATTTCTTGTGTTATGGGAACAAGTAACCCTAATTTTTCCTTATGGCGAAAGCCTGCTGTCCTCACAAAAAGGGTTTAGCACAAAACTCGGTTCTTCATAAAACTATTATTCCCTCTTCTGGCCTCCTCAGCATACTTGCTTTCACAGTCCTGTCTACCACAGAATTTCAGGAAAAAACTCTATGG